CGGTTCGTGATGGAGAGGGAGCCTTGGGTTGTCCTTGGCCTCCAAGTTTGTCTTGGAAAAATGACGATTTAGCAGAGGCGAGGGCGGAGCTGTAGGATTTGACATGGTCCAGCCAAATCTGCTGATGGACAGTTAGGTTTGATTTAAGCCAGGTGCGCTCAGCAGAACCCGCCTGAGCTTTAAGGGAATGGAGCTGGCTGGTTTATCAAGGTGATTTGCGTGAGGAGGAGACAGTTGGGGAAGAGAGGGGAGCAAGGGAATTGAGAGTGGAGGAGAGGGAGTCCTGGAGAAGGGCGACCGAGGAGGATAGGTCATTACGGGAGGACGCCCAGAGTTCAGATGACAAATGACATTCTGTCCATCTGTGACCAGGGCTCCCTCCGCCTATGCATTCTCCTTGACCTCTCTGCTGCTTTCGACACTGTCGACCACTCTATCCTCATCCACCGCATCTCCCCTCGCCTCAACCTCCATCGCGTTATCCTTGATTGGTTCAGATCATACCTCTCACGGCGCCTGCACTTCATCTCCTCAAAACGGCTTCTCCTCTAGCCCCTGGACCGTCTTGTGCGGCGTTCCTCAGGGCTCTGTCCTTGGTCCCCTCCTCTTCAGTACCTATATGCTCCCTCTTGGTGCATCATCTGCAGGCATGGGGTCAACTATTATTATTATGGTATGTGGATGATACCCAACTCTACCTCTCTGCCTCCACCCTTGACTCCAGCACCACTGCTGTGCTGACAGAATATCTGTCAGACATCAAGTCCTGGATGAGAGCTAATTTCCTTCAGTTGAACGTCAACAAGACCGAGGCTCTCCTGATTGGCTCCTGTCAGCGCCTCCTCACCTCAGGCGCTGACAGCATCACCATCCATCTTGCTAAGCCAGAGCCTTGCGGTCTTGTTTGACCCTCAACTATCCTTTCTACCCCACATCTGTGCCATAACCCGCTCTGACTTTCCCCAGCTCCACAATGTTGCCCGGCTCTGACACTGTCTCACACCGCAGGACGCTGAAACCCTCATACAAGCTTTCATTACATTGATGCTCGACTATGCAAACTCACTGCTTGTCGGCCTCCACAACTCCTCCCTCCACAGGCTGCAGATCATCCAGAACTCTGCAGCCTGTGTCCTCTCCTGCACCAGGCAGCACAACCCTATCACCCCCATCCTTGTCCAACTCTACTGGCTTCCCATCACACAGAGGATACAGTTCCAGATCCTGGTCCTCGCCTTCAAAGTCCTCCATGGTCTTGCTCCCCCCTACCTCTCCGACCTCCTAACCCTGTTCTCTTCCTCCGCTCAGCGGGCTCCGGCTTGCTTTATGTCCCCTGTCTTGCTCGCCCCACAATCGGCGGGTGGGCTTTCTGACACTTTGTTCCTACCTTTGGAACTCCATCCTGTAATCCCTCTGCCCCTCGCCACCTTCAAGACCCTCCTCATCGACTCCTGCTTCCCCCCCTGCCCTCCATCCTCCCCCAGCTCAGGTCCGTAACTCTGTCTGTCCAGCACCTTGGAACCTCCTCCCGACGTGAAAGGCGCTTTACAAATGTCATTTTGTTGTTGTTGGGGACTCTTCGAGGTAGCATTCGGTTTGTAGCCATCAACTGGCCATCCCTCTGACTGAGAAATAGAATGAAAGAGTGGACTTTGACGATTGGGAGTCTTTTAAATAACAGGAGGTTCATTTAAAGTTGAGCCATAATTAAGAGAGAGTCTACTTTCAATGCAATGCATTTTCTTTGGATACGTTTTTCAAAATATTTTAAAACATGTTTAAATTAGAAAGTTAGTTCTTCAGAGCTTGCCATTTGGGATCTGAGTCGTCAGTTAGCTGCCAGCATGATTTTTTTTTCTTCCAAAATTAACTTCCCTTTATTGGAAGACATCTTTTTCCTTCTAGTGGAGGAAGGTTGCACTGATGTGATCTCCCTAAGTCACAATTATTCATCCGTGAAATTTGGCAGAGTGTTTGCAGGCAATTTGCAAAATCTTATCTCCACTATAGTCCATGTGTGAACTCGCTGTTGCCTCTCACTTGAGCATCAGGCCAAGATGCCAAATGTGCCTCATTTGATGCCCCTTTAAGATCAAGTACCTCTAGAGGTTTGAACCTGCAATTTTCTCCCGTTCCTGGCCAAGTGCTCAGCTGGTGGTGCCTTTACCCCAAGGACGTTGGAAGAGCAAGAAAGTCTGTGGGGAATTATGTTGCTTGGTAATCTTTATTGTGCTTGAGGAAGTAAGAAATCAGAAAAGGCCTTTTATCTCACCAAACTTGTTTGTTCAACAGACCACACTTGCTCTTATTATGAACTGTAATACCCTACTTTTTAAAAAGAATTCCGAGCTTCATTTGAAAGTTTCCCGTTACTAAAGCAAAAGCTTTATATTCAGGCCAAGTTTCTTCATCTCCACAAACATCCCATCAGCCCACATTTTCCTGACCCCAACAACACATTGTGTCAATCACATGGTGATCTAATCTGTATTTGTCAATCTCAGTCTACATCTATTCCTACAATGTTCAAAGCAACTATTTATTCAGATTTTTGAAGGAGTTAATGCATCAATTGCTAGCATTGGGAATCTGTTCAAGTGAAGAAGATGTTTCTATTTATTCCCAATTGAGTCTCTTAATTTAATCCCAATTGTGCACTCTGGTCTGATCTCATTGTCTAATTCAATATCCTGCCTCTTTGTAGGTTGAAAAACATAGATTCTTTCCACCTCAGTACCCTTTTCCAATGATAACTCAGCTTGCCATAATCATCCTTGATACTCTTCTCTGAACTCCAACCACTGCTTGTCCTTTTGAAGATTTAGTACTCAAACATGGCACTATGTGACCTCGCCACTGATCTCTGCAAAGTTAGAATAATCTCTTTCAACTTTCAGCCAGTTCCTTAAGATGCAGCCCAGCATTTGATCTAGTTTGTTTGACAGCACCTCCTCATTGACTGGAAACCTTCAATCAATAATCACGCACAGATACTTTTCCTTCTCCATCTCTGGTGGAGAGATTTTCAAGCTGGGACACATGCATTTAATAGTTATCAGCCAAACTTAAACCACCTTAGGAATGTTGCATTTTTTGCATTTGCTAAGTCTATTTAATGCTCAGTAGTTGGGCCTTAGTGCAGACTTGGAGATATCACCTGGGTTTGATTCCCGGGCAGTGCGAAACATGAGGCAAGTTTCCTTATTCCACACGCAGTAAGTAGGAACCCGGTTGTCAGTCTGGATTCTTACTTGTGTACTACTTATACTACTTATAAACCCTTGCATTTATATTAAATGATTATTATGATTATTAAATATTATAAATATTATTAATAATAATCTCACAAGGGTTCTGAAGTTCCTTTAACCTGCATGAACCTCGGCCTTCCAGAAAACCTATTCTCCCCCTATCCCAAGTATGGTTAAAAATGCATCGACAATCCTTCTAAAAAGTAATACTTCCACTGAAGTTAACATTTTAAGGTGGTCGTAGCTTGACAATCAGCTGGAAGCTTGCCAGACAGCTCAGTACAGCAAGTTATGCAGTTTTTGCGGGTTGAACTCCGGCAGTATTTCAGTATACACTCTAAGGGTATGCATCTAAGTCTAATACCAACTATTTGGTACCCATAATGTGTCCCTCCAGGGAGAGTGCGCATTTCATTCCTGTGATGGGGAAATTTCCACTTTCTTCAAAAGTATAAATTCCTTTTCGATTCTGATTGACAACTGTTTTTGTACAGCATTCCATGTCCTACCAGCCCTTTTGTGTGTTGAAAATAAATTAAGAAAAAAGCAACAAAAAAAAAAGGAGATTCCTTTAAAAACTGTCATTTAGGCTCCAGGCTGAGATCTGGACATGGGAATAACAACTGTCTTAAGGAAAGGAAACAGAATAGTCGTAAAGTGAGCTATGTTGAAATGTGGTGGAGGTTTTGAATAGACTGCCTCTGGGGTTCATGTTGGGGCCCCTCTGGTTCCTGCTATACATAGACCTAGTTTTGCAGATTTGCTTGAAGGTAGTTAAATTCATAGCTTATGTCATGCTGGGAGAGGGGGAACTAGACACTGAGGAGCCAACTAAGATATTATAAGGAGAGATCGACAGGGTATGCACTTGGGCTGATCACTGACAGATGATGTTCAGTACCGAAAAATACAAGGTTGGAAATAAACCGAAGATAGAACTTGCGAGGGAGCGGGTTGAGAAAAGCTTATTAGAGGTGTTAGGTGACTTGTTGCTAATCATATCTAAATGATATGAGATTAAATGTGGCAAGAATGTAGGTCTACATTGTCAAATCAGTTGTGATCAAATGCCCCGCACTGGTGACAACAACAACAAAATTACATTTATAGAGCGCCTTTTACGTCGGGAGGACATCCCAAAGCGCTGAACAGTCAGGTGTCGGGGCCCGAACATGGGGGAGGGATGGTGTAGGGGTGAGGGAAGGCAGAGAGATAGGAGAGCGACCGAAAGCACGATCGAAGAGAAGGGTCTTGAGACCGGCCTTGAAGGAGGCAAGGGAGGAAGCGAGGCGAAGGGTCCATGGGATGGAGTTCCAGAGTGTGGGGGCACTCCACACATGACCTGCTGAAACTCTTGTCAGGACTTACTTGGAGTATAGTACACATAAGAGTAAACCCTGAACAGTATTTTCAAATAAGATATAAGGTGAACAAGTGGCTACATATTCAGGATTGTGGATTTAGGACGGACAACGGGAAATGTTTCTTTACAAAGAGTGCTTTATAGAAAGATGGCCCTTAGAAATTAAATTAACAAGAACTAACTTGGAAGTTAAGAGAAAATATTTGCACAAAAACTGTTAACTTTCTGTTCTGTAACTTCATGCTTCTATAAAAGAGAGAGAGAGATTATGAAGGGTTCCTGTGACTCATTGTAAATAAATAGTAGAATTTATATGATTCTGAAGGATGTTTGAATGAGTTTAATGGTTGCAATTTATATTTTCTGTCTCCTGTTTGCTTATAAAGGTCGCTTCGAGGAATACTGCACCCTAGCTGGATCGTCTGCTTGTGCTGTGGATCTGCCTGAGACTGGAACCCGAAGCATTGAGCTTTGGCACATTTATTGCTGAGGGGGAACAGATTGGAACTCTCCACGCTACATTTTTCTGAGGGGAGAGAAGCCGCTTGAGGTCAGCAACATGTCCATCACCAACACCCCGACCAGCAATGATGCCTGCTTGAGCATCGTGCACAGTTTGATGTGCCATCGGCAAGGCGGGGAGAGCGAGACATTTGCGAAAAGGGCAATTGAAAGCCTGGTGAAAAAGCTGAAGGAAAAGAAAGATGAGCTTGACTCGTTGATAACTGCTATAACAACTAACGGAGCCCATCCCAGCAAGTGTGTCACAATCCAGAGAACACTAGACGGCAGACTCCAGGTAAGCATTGAGAGAAGGATTTGCTGAGAAAATAATTTGTTGACAGATTAAATAGTTCAGCCATCTGATAACCCCAACAGTGGGGTTATCTCAACAGCTAACATTCCTAGTGATTTGATAGATGTGCATTCTTGACCGTGTTGGGGCTTGAGCTGACAGTCTTGGCTGACAACTTGGGAGCACTGCATCATTTGAGGTGTCATCTTTCAGGTGAGATGTTAAACTAAGGTCCCCATCTGTGTGCTTGTCAGATGAATGTTTAAAAATCCCATGACAATTTTGGAAGAGAAGTGAGTTTCTCCTCGTTTTCTGGCCAGCAATCCTGATAAATAGATCATGCTCCTTGTACCTTTTTTGTGCGTTCTTGCTGTGCTTATACTATTGAGTCACTTCCATAAACAGACATTAATTACTATGAAGTACTTTGAGACATTTTGACATTAAAAGGGGCTATAAAAGTACGAGTTCATGTTTTGTACGTGAACTGCTCAGGAAACTCCATGTGTATATGAACAAATCTGTTATTTCCTTTGTTCAGCCTCGTATCAGCCGCCGTGCTTAAGAGTATCCAAACAGACTGAATGGAAGTTTCCCTGTGTGCGCTCTCTCTCTCTCGCTGGAGTGATACCACCTGCTTACCTAATTCTTTAAGGTATTAGGCACAAGTTGGAGACCACCAAGTTATCAGAAGTGTGAGTTGCGGTACTTCTGTTAACCGTATAGCGTGTCACTGTCTGGACAAGCTCCCTGATGCTTAGCCAGTTTGGACTATACTTAGGGCTTTGGGTTGCAGAGCTAACAGGAGAGGTCCCCAGTGACTAGTTTGCCACTTAAACTCCTGCCGACAATCAGACTGGCTGGTCTGTCACAAGGAGTACCCTGTAGTACTCATAGAGACTGTCACACAGTGTTGACATTCATCAACATTCTGTTGTCGAGCATGTCACTTTGGAGCAAATAGGACTCCCACCCTCCCAGACCAGGAAAATCACCACTCGTTGGTCATTTGACATCCGACATACACAGGTTTGAGGTTTTATTAATTTATTACTCTTTATATTACTTTTTCAAATGTGCTTCTTGGCATTTTTAATTCAATCGAGTAGTAATGCAAGAAATAGGCAGTCAGATCCATGTGTTTTCAAAAATGTCCAATATGAGGAGAATTTGCAGACCCCCAAATTTATGAAAAGGAGGAAAAAGTAGGAATTTAAGAATTTGGATAAAAAACTGGAAGGAAGGACTGGGAGAAGTTCAGGAATTTGCTAAAGTAGGTTAGAAAGAGGGTGGTGAAAAAATATATTGAGAGATCAGGATAGAAAAACATGTTTTAATCAACAGCTCACACATGTTTATTCATTATTATAAATGTTTATTTGAATCTTGAATCTGCTTGACGGGTGCTATGTATTTATATAGCACCCTTCAAGAAGGTTTAATATAAATAGTAAGTTGTTGTTTCCATAATAATTTAAGAAATTGGAGAAAGTCGATTTGCTCCACCGAACCAGTACCACCACAAATAATTTGGTGGCGCTACTCATTATCGTCTCCCATTTTCCCACATCTTATCAAGTTAATTTTTGGGGGAGGGTAAGGTCTCTGACACATGTGGAAACTCATCACCTTTCATAAGAGTATGCAATCCAAACTGAGAATTGGATGCATCCTGCCTACACATGGAAATCCCAGAGATAGATTGTTGGAATGGACTCTCCCACACTCTCTCGCTGGAGGGATACTTCCTGCTTACTTAATTCCGGAAAGTATTAAGTGCAGGTTGGAGAGAGCCAAGGCTTGGTGACCCCAGAGTGTGTTGCTGGAGTCGAATCAGCCAAAACTACATAGCATGCTATTGAGAGCACTGTCTGGCAAGCTTTCCCAATGCTTGTCCAGCTATGACTACCCTACCCATTAGGTCTTGGGCTTGCAAGGTTAATGGAAGCTTAGTGGAAGGATTTCCCACCTCCAGGGACTGATCTGCCCTTTCAAGTCCTACCGATTAGTCAGGACTGCCATTTGCAGTGCCCTCGAGTACTCTGACTCATCTGACTTAGAAACTGGACCACCGAGACCACACCAGAAGGTTGGCTCGAATCTGACATTCCCTTACCACCTTGGAGTCAATTGAGCTCTAAGGAGACCCCTCTTATTATTTTCATTATTTTGTTGATTCCCTTCATAATCTTGAGCAGCTGAATCAAATTTTCCTCCACTCCAGGGACTGCCCTAACACTTACAGTTTCTTCCCTATCTTCTGAATCAGTGCTGTATTCTCCAAATTGAATAAAGGAACATAGAATTCTGAATGACAATATAATAATAATAATCCCTGCGTTTGATGTAGTGCCCTATCACATTGTTGAGCCGTCTCAAAGCGCTTCACAGAATTTACTGTAAAGTGGATTGTCTGTGTATTTGTTGGCAAAATGCTGCAGCCAATTGCGCACAGCGGTGTCCCACAAACAGTCCTGGATTGAATGACCCAATTTTTTTTAAAAGGGTCAATTGTCAGCTGTAGAAGAAGATAAAATATGTTATCATTTGAAATGCTAAGATTGTGAGGAATTTGGGCTTCAGAAGCCAAGACTGAATTAATGCCTTACATTCAGTTAAAAGTTCTGTATCTGTTTTTAATTTGTAGTTTTATTGAAAGCATATTTCTTCATCAGTGCAAGTCTCTTTGATGTGGTGCCTTTTTGATTCTATTTGAAGATGAATAGTGGTTGAGAATCAAGTGCCTTACAGTTTTGGGTTCATGATATCAGGCCTGACAATATGTTGATTGTCTAACTCAGTATTTAGCTTCACCAGCATTTTTTACAATAATTTTACACAAAAATATTGATTTGTCTTTTAGTGTCAGGGGAGTGCAGTGGTACCCTGCCCTGCGTGAGGGAAGCTATATAAATGCAAGTTGTTGTTGAAAATTTGGAATCCATTTGTGGTATTAATCTTTGCATTTGGTATGTCTAATAATATATAATACAAATTATATCTAATAATAAAAAATTGGTCACTGAATCCTCAACTATTTGTGGGAAACTGCTGTGCGCAATTGACTGTACCCTTGCTGATCAGGACATTGGGAGAAACTACCTTCTCTTTTCTTAGTACCATAGGATTTTTAATATAATATTATTAATCTTTATCTTTGTTATGGCATCGTTCATGTCAGTAAGGTGTCCCAAAGTACTTCACAGGATATATTGTAAATGAGAATGACTGTTGTTTTTGTTGGTGACAAAAGTCGACCGTACCTTGGTTCAATGTCTGATTCTTGTTTGTTTATTTTCAAAAGTCTTCACTCGCCATCTCACATACTCTACCAACCCAATTTACCATTAGAATACATATCTGCTTAGCTCTCGATGCTGCCTACACCATCTCCCTTTAATGCATCCTCCAAACATCTCAAAGCAGTCTGTATCTTCTACTCCTTCTACACCCGAGACAATTTTGGAGTCTAAGGACAACCCCAGGCTCCTCTTCTCCATAACGAAAATGCAAGGATTATTATTATTATAATGAACCGGCTCCTCCACCCACCCTCTCACGCCTTACTCATCCTCACCTCAAATGACAACTGCGAGGCGATGCTGGACTTCCTTGAATCCAAAGTTGAGGGAATTCGCTCAGCTGCCTCTGCCACTGCATCTGCTATCCCGTCCCCATCTCCTCCTCCCACCCCGACCACCACCCATGCCTCCCTCCGCATCTTTGAACCTGTCTCCCTCCTCTCTCATCACCGCCATAACCCGTATGAAACCCATCACCTGCTCCCTCGACCCCATCCCGACCCCTCTCCTCACCTCCCAGCTCCACCTCCTTGAGCCTCTACTCACTGATATCGTCGACCTCTCCCTGTCCTTTGGTACTTTTCCCACCCCATTAAAAACCGCTGTCATCACTCCAATCCTTAAAAAACCTCCCTGGACCATTCTTTACTCCCTAGCTACTGCCCCATCTCCAACCTCCCTTTCCTCTCCAAGGTCATGGAACCAGTTGTCGCTTCTCAGCTTTGCTCCTTCCTCTCCCGCCGCTCCTTTCTCGAACCCCTCCAATCGGGTTTCCGTGCCGCCCACAGCACAGCAACCGCTCTGGTTAAAGTGACAAATGACATTCTGTCCATCTGCGACCAGGGCTCCCTCTGCCTCCTCGTCCTCCTTGACCTCTCTGCTGCTTTCGACACCGTTGACCACTCTATCCTCATCCACTTCCTCTCACCTCAACCTCCATAGCGCTGTCCTTGCCTTGATTGGTACCTCTCACACCACCTGCACTTCATCTCCTCAAACGGCTTCTCCTTTAACCCCCGGACCGTCTCGTACGGCGTTCCACAGGGCTCTGTCCTTGGTCCCCTCCTCTTCAGTATCTGTATGCTCCCTCTTGGTGACATCATCCATAGACATGGGGTCAACTCCACATGTATGCGGATGACACCCAACTGTACCTCTCTGCCTCCACCCTTAACTCCAGGACCACTGCTGTGCTGACAGAATGTCTGTCAGGCATCAAGTCCTGGATGAGAGCTAATTTTCTTCAGTTGAACGTCAACAAGACCGAGGCTCTCCTATTGGTTCCCGTCAGTGCCTCCTCACCTCAGACGCTGAGAGTATCACCATCCATGGTTGCACACCCCACCTTGCTAAGCCAGTCCGGAACCTTGGGGTCTTGTTTGACCCTCAACTATTCTTTCTACCCCACATCTGCGGGACCCTATCACCCCCATCCTTGCCCAAATCCACTGGCTTCCCATTACACAGAGGATACAGTTCCAAGATCCTGGTCCTCACCTTCAAAGCCCTCTACAGACTTGCTCCCCCCTACCTGTCCGAACTCCTAACCCCCTACCACTCCGTTCGCTCCCTCTGCTCAGTGGGCTCTGGCCTGCTTCATGTCCCCCGCCTGGCTTGCTCCACTATTGGCGGGCAGGCCTTCTGCCACTCTGCACCCGCCCTCTTGAACGCCATCCCACAGTCCTCCATCTCGCCCCCTCCCTCGCCACCTTCAAGACCCTTCACTTCGACCGTGCTTTCGATCTCGCTGTTTCCTCCCCTGCCCTCCACCCTCCCCCACCCTGACCCCCAGCTCGGGTCCGTAATTCTGTCTGTTCAGCGCCCTGAGACGTCCTCCCGACATGAAAAGCGCTTTACAAATGTAATTTTATTGTTGTACCAGTGTGACAGATGTCCACAAAAAGATTACATTTGTATTAATGTCTCACTATCCTGCATATGAGACTTTAAGCTAAAGTCCAAGGTTCAGATGGTATTTTGATTGCAAAATATTTCATACAGAAGGTCATTCATCTCCTCGCTCTTTTCTGAGATTTACTGCAAATAAAATGGCTGCTGTTTGCCTACGATGATGGGTAATCAATCTGACAGTAATTTTTTCTTTGCTGAACAGTGACAAATTGATACAAAATACAAAATACTGCAAATGCTGGAAATCTGAAATAAAAACAGAAGTCGCTGGGAACACTCAGCAGGTCAGGCAGCATCTACGGAGAGAGGAAAGTCGGTCAACGTTTTGGGTCCACGACCCTTTCGTGTTCTGACGAAGGGTCATGGATCCAAAGCATTGACTTGCTTTCCTTTCTCCATAGATGCTGTCTGACCTGCTGAGTGTTCCCAGCGACATAATCTGTAGATGTTTGGCATTAATGCAAATTAGATATATTTAATCAATCCTCCTAACATCGGACACCCATGTTAAAACTATCCAAGTGGTGAACGAAACTTGACCTTGGCATTTAAATCTCTTTGTGAGACTTTTGAACGTGATGTGACGCCGTAAAAATGTCAGTTCGTTCTTTCAAGGCTTTGTTGTAAATGAGTCTAACTACATAACCGCTTTGTTCATCAAAACTAACCGGGCCCCCAGTATTAATAACTACATTAAGCGCTCCGAGGGGCCGTGCGGTGTGAAGGGCGCTGTATAAATGCAAGTTGTTGTTGTACATTGCTGCTGTTAAAGGGCCCCTGTGGCTTCTGTCCACTGCTCACCTACATTGATGTCCTCTTTATTTTCCTCCAGGTTGCTGGTCGTAAAGGTTTCCCACACGTGATTTACGCTCGGCTCTGGAGATGGCCTGACCTTCATAAAAATGAACTTAAACATGTAAAATATTGTCAGTATGCGTTTGACCTGAAATGTGACAGTGTTTGCGTGAACCCTTATCACTACGAGCGTGTGGTTTCCCCTGGCATCGGTAAGATGTTCTTTACTTCTGTGAAAACAGCCGTCTGCTACCACTAGATATTGGGATTGAAAACGTGGCAAGTTTAACACTGGGATATCCTATCCAGGTGTAGGTCAGCATCAGAGTTGGCTGTGGTGTTTTGCTACATAGTGGTGGTTCCCCATTGCTGGAACAAACTTTGTGAGTCCCTATGAACAAACTACTACTTTTTATCACATTATCACATTGGTTTTTGTTCATTTTCATGTGACAAAATATCATGAGTTATAAATGATTGAAAATGTGCATTTATTTTTAGAGGAGAGGAGTGTTAGATGTTCTTTCTCGGGAATATCGTCTGGATTTCCAAATCAGTCTCACAAAGTCTATAAACTAATTTGTTTGTGTATTGGAAGAAGCACAACACAAAGGATTATGAGGAAAGAGCAGGGAGCTATTCAGTGGGAAGAGGTGGGTCAGTTGCAAGTGATCAGTTGCTAGAACTGGCTGATTTCTCTCCTTTCTAAAACAAAAGCTGGGCACAATGGTGCTCCTTCACTAGCTTTACATTTGCAATGGGAATTGAACAGGTTAAGTCACTGGAATAAACATTTACTAAGATTTACAAAGAATGTATAGCTTGGAAACGGGTTAATCGGCCCAACCAGTCAGTGTTTATACTCTACACGAGCCTTCATTTATGTTAAGGTCTAGCTTCCTTTTGAATGCATCTACACTATCTTTACATGGTACATTATTTACATTTATAAAATATATCAAACTAATTATTCATTAAGAGTGTATTAATGAATTGAAATGCCTCTCGCTGAATGAATTTAATTGTGCCCAATAACTAGCAAAGACAGCCATGTTTGACGCCTGCCAAACAAGATGGATTCAGATCACTTTCCTCTCTATTTTAGACATTTTTAATTATTAATCTGAATCCAGAAATTTAAAAAAGATGAGGTCAATAAATTACTGTGACATGTAGCACAAATGAACCTTTTAAATTGTAACAGCAAACTCGTAATGATGGAATGGATTTGTTCAATAGAATGGCCAATGTAATAATCTTGATATTGGATTTTGAACAATTTTCTGTTCTTCCTTATTGGGTTATAGAGCTCATTCACAGAATTGTAAATCTTTGAAGCAGATTCAGAATCATATACAAGTGAGTTAACGCTGATTAGATCCACAGAATGTAGTGCATTAATAAAAGCAGAATATTAGCATAGCTGGGTTGTATGTAATAAGAAACTGTGACTTGTACTCTCGTTTTCATGTAACCAGTATTCAAATTTATGTCACGTTAATTGACTTCTCTGATGAATAAGTAGCCTGCTAATTGCAGTTTAATTGCTTTCTGGTCCCTGACAGTACAACAGGCATATTAACAAGATTGTTATATCGTAAGCTGCTTTGGTGTTTCGTGTGTAAGGAACACAAAAGTCTGGTTTTAACTGATTTTTAATTTTTGAGACCTCTCAACAAGGTACGATAGCAAATTCAAGTATTATTATTCCCATTATTATTTTCACAATAAATACAGTAGTTGTAGGGCTTTTGCTTACAAAATATTTGTGAGTTTCGCCCAAGCTCTGAAAATTATTTTGTATTAATGTGGTATTTGTGTGCTATTCTGCTCTTTACTTCCAGTCTGTCTGTAGTTTGACAGAAACCTTTTAGGAGTAAAATTGTAAGTAATTGTGATATTACTATTAATCTCTGTGATTGTTGCTGCTAATATTTATCAAATGTAAGTCAAATTCAGTTACTCACTTAATACTTGTTCCTAAAAAGTGGAGCTTTAACAGCAGCATTTGACATTACAATATTTGGATGAAGAAAATTGATTTTAATATTTGATTTTTCTTTTTTCAATGAAGATCTTTCAGGATTGACGCTGCAGAGTTCAGGTAAACAGTCAATCAATCTCTTTGGGGATTGCTGAATAGATTTTGTGACAACTTATATGGTGACTGACGTGAATGAATATGTATTGACTATGTATTGTATTTTGGAATACAATACGTATTCTGGAATTGTTTAAATTAAATTGAGTGAATTGAGAGCTGGGAAACCTTATATACAGTGCGTTAATTAATTTGGGTGCAGTGTTGAAGAGGCCTGTGTTAACTTTCATGTCTGCCTGTGGAAGAAAATAGAAGCAACTAATGCTAATCTTTCTGTAGTTTGATTTCCTCATTGCTGTGGTCTAAAACCATTCAATATTTCAGCACAGAAAGAGGCCATTCATCCTATCAAATTGAACCAGCACTTTTCTCCATCCAATCTAGTCTAATGCCACTCTTGCTCATTCTCCATACTTTTTAATATTAAAACCTCATACTCGTCTACAAATTCTTGTTACACCCTGGCACCCCCCCTAACTCTTTGACTGTTTATTCCCCACCTTGCTTCCGCTCAGCTGACTCCAGGTGCTGGATAATCTTATGGTTGACACCAAGTTCGGGGTGGGAGGTGGGGTGGGGGGGAGGATATCTGGAAGTGCAGAATTTAGGAGGCAAGTGAAGGGGTGAATTGAAATTTTCTGGAATGGAGTTCAAGAGGGTGGGGGATACATACACTGAAAGCCACTAACGGTTGGGTGGGGGTGATACTGAGAGGAAGTAGCTACTGGTTTTGAGGATGTCACAGGGGTAGGTTGGGGAAAGACATTCAGAGGTTTAAAGGTTAGGATTTTTAACTTGAACCAACTGGAAGTGAGATGCCAGTGGAACTGGACATAGATAGGCTCGGCTCGCGGATCTTGTGTGGAAAAGAAAATGAGCTAGAGATTTCTGGATAGTCTGCAGCTTGTGAAGGAAAGAAACCTCTATCGTTTAGCTTGTCATAATCTTAAAAGCCACTGTCAGGTAACCCCTTCAAAGAAAGGGTACTTTTGTAACCTTCCGATAACTAAGTGGTGAAAACTATACATAATATTATAGCTGGAGGCTATCTTAAGGTTTTGTACATGTTTAGTATTATCTTCTGGATACAAAACCAAGGATTACTTTCATCACGTTACATTATATACCTGTGCTTGCATCTTTATTGGCCTGTATATTTGCTTATCTGCACAACAAGGTTGCTCTAATCCATTTAAAGTCTTATTTGTGATTCATTTCATTTTCTTTCCTCATTTGTTCTACCGAAATGCACTGTTTTGTTTATCGACATGGAATTGCATTTGCCACCTACCTGCCCACTCTGCCAAACTCTTTACGTCATTCTGCGTTGCCATGTCCGTTTTCCCTGCCCCCCCACACACACAAATGCATCCACTTTGGTATTAAGCAGTGTCAACATGATTCCCTCAATTTCGTATCGGTATCGTATACCACATTATGAACATAGTTGTTTCCAATTTTTAATTGTGGCATCTCCCGTCCTTTTCTTTTAGTAAAAGATGAATTTGCAAATGAATATGTACAAGTTGAGGGACAGCAATCTCTGTTGAGCACTGAAGGACACTCGTTGCAGACAATCCAGCATCCGCCTAGCGCCAGGCCGGTAGCAGAAACCTACAGTGGACCGGCCATGCTAACACCAGATACCAGCAGCCTCAGCATCCCCAATTTCCCCAGCCTTCCCGTTGCCACCACCAGTAAGTGATTGCTCGCTCAGTTTTAACCTCCAGCTTGTACCTGCAGAAAATCTAGGAAACATCGAATTTCTTTGCATAACTTAACTACTACAGTGTTGATATTGCAGTTAAAACACAGCACTTCTGGTAACAGCAACAAATTACATTTGTATAGCGCCTTTCACATCGGGAGGGCGACTCAAGGTAATGGGAGGTCAGGGATTTGGACCCGAGCAGGGGATTGGGATCAGGAGGGCAGGGAGGGTAAGGGTAGGAGGGTGACTGAATGCGCAGTCGAAGGTGTAGCAAGTTCTAGAGGCCTTACCTGGGAGATTCTGTCTTGTAACTGTGTGTTACCAGAGTTGATGAGTTTTAATTCTCAACAGTAGATTTAACATGAGGCAACATTTCTCAAGTGGGTTGTGCTAATTGTTGCCAATTGATGCCAACCAACCCAAACCGTTGACAGTTACTTGGGAGTAAAACAGGTTGGTGATTGAGACCTAAGTATGGCCTCAACCAGGCAGAAGTAGACCTGATAGAATAGAAGCAGGAATTGTTTATTTCCACTAAATAATAATAATAATAATCCTTGCATTTGATATAGCGCTTTTCACGTCGGGAGGACGTTCCAAAGGGCTTCACAGAACATACTGTAAAGTGAATTGACTGTATATTTGTGGGCGAACGCGGCAGCCAATTGCACACAGCAATGTCCCACAAACAGTCGTAGATTGAAAATGACCAATTTATTATTGTTTTGTTTTTTTGGAGGGATTATTATTAGGCTCTGTGTGGAGTAAGGAAACTTGCCCAAGGTTTCGCCCTCTGCCTGGAATTGAACTCAGGTATCTCACTTGCAAAGCAAGTGCTCTAACCACTGAGCTACAGGACTCCACAGATATTGAGGATACAATTTTGAATTTAGATGAGCATTGCTGGGGGGGGTGATGAAGGGGGAAGTGAGAAGAATATTACAGAGAAAAAGAAATTCAGGGATGAGAATCGTAGGCTTGATATCCAGTGGAAAGCATGAAGGGACTATGATTAAGCTTGTACACATGACTGCAAGGTCTGCAGTAACCCAAAGTAGAATCTGAGCGAACACTTTTAAGGAGCATGTCTGAATGTTAATTAAATCCCTAAAACCATTTTTAATTCCCTCCTTGCACATGTGTGCACACCAAACAATGCACACTTGCATTTACACATGGTTTGCGCAGTGTTTGTACAAAACCAATTACCACAAACTGAAACGCTTAAGATGTTTCAGTGTAATAATTCACTATATCAAATGGCAAGTATTAATACTTGCAATTGATATCGTGACCCTGATGTTGACTGCACTTTTTTGGTTAGCCAGTTGTCTGACATGCAGACCAGACATATACAGACCAGACTGAGTTCCGCATTTACATTCCACCTGTCATAGTCATTTCCTTGTGTCTGGAATCCACTGTCTCCCTGGAGGGTTGCACCACGCTTACCTAATTCTGGAATGTATAACCACAGCTTGGAGAAAACCATTGCTTGAGGAACCAAGAATGTGCATTGGGGAACTGCTGGTATAACCAGCTAAAACTGCATAGAATAAAAATATAAACAAGTTTACCACATAATTTGATCAACTGCGTATTTAGGCCAATAAGGAATTGAGTTTCAGGAACTCCACTCCTTCTTGATCTACGTTTAGGATAATATTTAGGAATAATACAACCGATTATTGTTACTTTATGATTATGGTTACTCAAGGCCCCTCTAGATAGAATAAGCCTCGAATTAGGAGTTCTCTTAAGGCATTTCTATAGAAGGGTATGAGAGGCTATGTAGTGTTATTACTATTGGTTCCCTCCGAAATGAGGGGCAAAGAAGAATTAAGAGGGAGGTTAGTTAGAAAGTATTTTATGCAAAGCTCCCAAGTGCAGCCTAACAAGAGCACTGCACAACTTGTGTGTGACTCTAGGCATGTAAATTAATTTGGCAGTACTGACTGACATCCTGTTTGCCTTGTTACTACATCACAGGATTTCAACATAGAGAGAGAAATGAGTGAACAACCTTAGATCTCTTTCAGGTTCCCCTTGGTAGTTTATATCCCATTCATGAAGTGCATGTACCTTCTGTTTTCACTTCTTCATTCAGTACCAATTATCTCCATTGAACTTCATCTGTTAATCAGCTCAGGTGCATATTTAATGAACAATAATCACTTATATTTGCTGTAATATTACAGCCTATTTCAGGGAATCTTTATCTTGCTTGTTGCAGCCCCGGTGTAATTTCCTGTATTCACACATTTGTCTTCTGAGTTTCACAGTTTGATTTGAATCTGTGTATTTTAGTTTAAACATTTTTAAGTAATTCAGTAACTTAGGAATGAGTTATCCTAGCATTCCTAATGCACTGTGCTTGTCCCACCTCCCCAGGTCAGCCCAGCAGCATGTTACCTGTGAACCACACCGAAGGACTAATACAGATTGCTACCGGCCCTCAGCAAGCAGCACAGCAGAATGGCTTTCCAGCGCAGCCGGCAAACTACCATCGCAGTAAGGAAGCTGTCCTCAATTATCTTTCAGAGTCCTCACAGGCACAGGTTAAATGGCTGTAGATTTTGAGATCTTAAGGAAACATTTCACTGAAATACTTAACTAGCTCTGTAATTTCTCTTCCATTGTAATTGCTTACTAAGCACTTGATGCCCTTCAATGCCTTTTTTTTCCTAAACTTGGGTTTCCGTTTGAGCTGTGAGTGGCACTGACAGAGGAGAGCAGTCATACCCTTCCAGTTTAAAATTACTGAGCAGAATAACTTCATGTTGTCACACCTTAGATACACAGTCATGAGATGCAATTCATGTCTACACAGCATTTTTACTGTTTACCCCTAACCTAATTGCGCCCATAAAATACTCATTTAATTCACTTTGCAGTATATTCTGTGAAACGCTTTGAGACGTCTCAACGAAGTGATAATGCAAGGATTATTATTATTAATAATTACACTACCTATGGAATAATAGTGGAAGCTATTTAGGTTGAAATGTCAGTGAACGAAGTGTCAGTGGCAAGTGTTCAGCTGCGGGTGACTCAAAGTCGGTTGTTTACTTTTTTTTATTGTCTGGTAAATGCCAAACACATAATAGACAAGGAGGCAGTAGGTTGTATTAAGCCAAACTACACTCAAATGTAAGAAAAATCATTGATATACAGATCAGTTAAAAGCTTTACTTTTTTTATTTAAAAATATTTGTATTAAATAAAACATTTTCATATTTATATGTATTTAAAAATATTTATAAACAATTATATAATTTATAAATAAATATATTTAAAGATATTTGAGGTTCAGATCAGCCATGATTAATAGAAACAAGAGTTGGTCATTCATTCTATGTTCCTATAAGCTGTTGAATCTTCATATCAAATCTTCCAATATTGCACATTATTCGGTGCCTGAAAATGTCTTAAAAAATAATGGGATTTTTTTGATGACCTATTTTACTCCTATAGCTGCTTTCAGCAGAAGGCACAAAGGAGATACTTTAAATGGGACAGGAAAATAGAAAATTATTATTGTTCACTAATTACAGCTCTCAAGGTGGATCTTCATTCTGTCTTTGGAGGCAACAATGAGGAGAAAAACTCCCACTGTTGGCTACTCTGACCTGATTGTCACGTTCACCCAAGAACCTGGTTAGCTCAGTGTTGTCCTTTATCCTCTCGCCTCCCTCACTCTGGGAGTGGGCAAGTATCCTACTCCACATGCCTCTGTTCACCTAGCAGTAAGTGGGAACCCGTTTTTTGGTCGATTGGCTGATCGCTTTTCTGAGAGTAATAATCCATTTTTTAAAATAAATAAATAAAATTATAATAATTTAGTCACTCAATCCACGACTTTTTGTGGGACACTGCTATGCCATTGACTATTGCGTTTCGCCCATCTAATATTATTATTATTAATTATACAGTCAATTAACTTTGCAGTATATTCTGTGAAGCACTTTGAGATGTGGTAAAGTGCTATATCAAATGGAAAATTAAATTATTTTGACATGGATGCGAAATAGGAAAATGATACTCCATCTCAAAAAATGCTCAAATAGTCTTGTTCTTCATGTAATTTTTACAAAGTGGCTGTAGCAAAAAAGAAAGAAATTATATTTTTATTGTCTTTGTTTTGACAAAATATTTGAGAGCTTTATAAGTAATACTTTTGTCAAGTGTAGTGTCTCTAATGGGAGGCAAGCATGCACTAGTAAAGTCCCACAATGAATGCCCACTTTATCGTCATTTATTGTTGTGGGCCTGGGCACTGGGAGAAACTCTTTTCAATAGTATTACCTTTTTTGAGCAGCAGCATGATGTTAATGTCTGATGTGGAAACCCATCACCAGGCTCAAGAGTATCTAAGTCAGACTGAGCGTTCCATGTATGCTACATACACATGGAAATTTCCGTGACTCAAATTGAATGTGCGTTCTCTCCCCGGAGGGAAGCACTCTGCTCACCTAATTCCGTGGATTATTAGATGGAGGTTGCCCCTAGAGTGATAAGAATCCATTTCTCGAGGGACGGGTCTGCCCTGCCCAAGACTGGCAGGTCTGACATCAGCAGTGCGTTAGACTATCTGCCTGGATCGGGAAGCGAGACTTCCACAAGGAATCAACTTAATTCTGATATTCCATTCCTTCAGCTCACTAGTTGATCATTAATGTTCAAAAGTACAGGTTTGAGCCCTCATTAGGTGGATAGCATGTTCCACAAGCTCTTTGCAAGCCTTTTGATGAACAGAACAACAGGTAGATGGGTTGTTGAGTGTTTTATATGATATAAGTCTTTTGTGACTGCAGCTGCCATTTATCTCACATGTTCAGCTTTTGTTCCCTTCAATGCAGCATGAGTGGTGTGTCGACAAGTGGGTTATGTCGCAAAAGTTTTAGAAAGCAAATGTGTAAAGAAAGTTAAACAATGCTAGGACAAGAGTGGCTTACTGTTGTCAGTAGATGCGCTGTATCAAATGCAAGGATTATTCTTAGGGTTATCATCAACTTGACTGCTAGCATTTGCCTTGTAGATCGTGTGGGATTTTGCTGCGGGGACCTACAAATACAAGTCACTACACATGACAGCAATTCGCTGCGAATCTCTTTTTTTGAACTTTATTGCTGCGCACAATTGGTTGCCACAAAATACACAGTCAATTCACTTTACAGTTCAATCCTGTGAAGCACATTGAGACGTCTTGAAGACATAATAAAATGTGCTCTATCAAATGCAAGGATTATTATTATTAGATTTCAAAGTCTAGATATATACTTTTCTGTGCATTTTATACAACACTACCAACACTGAGCTCTGTTGCACAAATAGATTATGTTTCATGCAGAGTTTTGCCATGCCTGACGTGACTTGCTCATATCCGTAATAATCCTGAGTTAGGCGCTTGGAGGAAGGAACTTGCATTTTTATGGAGCCTCATATCAACATTAAAAACTGAGTTAAAACAATTTTCGTCAAAACTAGTAAGTAACTTTTTGTGAGCGAATATAGCAGACATTTTGTGGTCAGTAGATATTTTGTGCGCAGCAAGAACTCACAGCGGGCATGAAGTACTGATTAAGAGTGGTGGCCAGGACACCAAGAAAACCTCCTCTTCCTTTCCAGTAGTGTGTGGGATCATTGATGTCCATCTGAACAGGCGAACAAAACCTTGGTTTAAACTTCTTACCAGAAGGACGACACCTCTGACAATGCAGCACTACCAGTTGAATCTATATACACTTGAAAATGACAGTTGGTTATAACAAGAGTTTTCAACTGGATTCAAATCAAATCCAGTTATTCACATTCATTCATTTTATTGAGGTCTGGATGAGAATGGCTGAACTGCGTCATCATTTCATCATGTCCTGATGTGATCTGCCATTTAGTTCATATGGCAGTTAACTTGCTTGACCACAAGATTGCTATTTTTAATCATTATTTTCTTATTGTTGTACCATACTGTTGTGTTAAATGTTTTGGTTTTGTTGCTCACTAGCCTGCGGAGGTGGGGGGGAGGGTCATCGAGCTCTCCTAGCCTGTTTCATTGGGTCTTAGTGAACATTTAATTCCTTTTCACCATACCCTCTCCCAAGAATCCTCTCCATCTTTTTGGCCATTGCTGCCTTCTGTATCCATTCACTCTTCCCGGTTTGTTTTCTTCCCTGGATCTGTCAGCAGGCTTGGCTGGGAAACTCTCTCAGCCCAGAAATTGTAATGCTGATTGTCCACATGTTCACTCACTGGAGCATCCAAAATTCTGATCATCTCAGCCTTGAGACCTTAGTATTAAAATTTACGATTAATCAGAATTTGGGAGAATTCTTAAATTCATTAAGTTGGTAGGTGATTCTTTTTAAGATCTCTCTCTCTCCCTCTCGTTTTCTCTCGCTCTCTCGTTTTCTCTTCTGTTTTCTCATTTTCCCTCTTTTGTTTTCTCTCTTGCTCTCTTGTTTTCTATCTTTCCTGTTTTCCCTCCCATTTCTCTCTCTCTCTCTCTCTCTCTCTCTCTCTCTCTCCCCCTCCCCTCTCCCTCTCTAGAGAGAGAGAGGAAACAAGAGGGAGACAATGAGAAAGAGAAAATGAAGAACAGAAGAAAATGGATTTTAGATAAAGACACAATTGAAGAAATCTCCAAAATTCTGGATGATCTTAAATATCAAGTCAATGGTATTAGGGCTAAGAACATGTGGAATTTTGTTATGCAGGCTATTGTAAGCAAATAGAAATTACTCTTGAGCATTGAATAAAGGACAGCTTTACACTACTTGCAAGTTACGCTTGATCTGCTCGAATAATAGCCAGTGCAGTGTGAGTGTCTCTAGTGGACCAGGAGACAACAAGACTCTACTGCACACCACAAACATTTCACCCATCAATGCTAAGAACATGGAACCATTAGACAATTGTACATACAATATTATAGCGATAGTGTGTGCACTTTTAGTTTCTACAGATTATTGACTTTTACTAGCTAATAAATATTGAATTTCATCTTCAGCCCCTGTTTGACAAAATACATATTTTGTTTTATTTAAGTCCACAATTACTTGTAAGTATAGTGCACTGAATTATTTTTCTGACTTAAGTGCAGATTACTAACAAAAAAATTCTCTTACATATCCAGAAATGTTGATCTAATCCTGAAACTGATGGCTACCAATTGCTTCCACACTGAATAAACTTCATCAAAACCAAATCGCAGCAATTGAATGTGGTGCTAAGGTGGTCCTTTTCATGCCTTCCCAATCTGCATTGATTGAAAGGTGGCGGTGGTGGTCAGCTTTGAATTAATGGGTGATTGTCAGAGATTCAATGGCTGTCAAAAAATTGGGAGGAGATTGCTGTTAGGTGGAATACCCCTTACATGGAATAGTTCCAAACAGCTGAGAAAATTCCTCTCGACTTCCATTTCTTGTGACTCCCTTGTACAACAACATTATCGGACTTTAACATTATCAGCGCTTCAGTTTCATCTCACCTAGTTTGTGGCACAGGAACATCTG